CTGAGAAAAACCAAGAAATGATTTCCAAAGCCGCTGCTCAATGAGAACTGGCAGAAGCTCCAGCACATAAATCGGATTCTTGGATCTAGCACACAAAGCTCTCAGGCTCAGAGAAATAACGTGTGCACCTTCGCAAGCGCAATCTGTGAAGACAAACCAGCACTCCTACATCTTGGCAGCAACTTCAAGAGGGCGAACTTTCTCGCACCCTTTCAACAGAAGTTCAGAGCACCAATCTTGTTCCAAATCATGCGACCTCGAAGCTGCACTGAATGTTTTGCATGCAAGTTCGCCCGCTTCGAGGATGCCCTTCAACGCCTCAACAAGTTCTGCTTCGCGCTCAGGAGTGCGCATGATTCGGAAGCGCCCTTCCAGGAGTGGAGTCAAGGCCCATCAGCAATCCCAACGACTTCACATGGCTGAAAAGTCCACTGCTTCCCTGCCAGCTTTTGCAAACTTCACGCCCCACAGGTCGAGGAGCGCTTCAGCTCTCACCGCAGCCGACGTCATTGCACGTGCATCTGAGAAAGCTGTGAAGGCATCGTAAAAGCTCGTCCACCATAGCTTGGGCCCCTTGAGGCCTGCAAACGTCAATGCAGTTGAAATACGAAGGAACCCACCGACGCCACCCACTGCACCAAAAGGGAGAGCGTTTGTCACACAGAAGGCCTGTTCACCCGAAGGTGTCTTGACAGCGAACCTGCCCAAATCCCTGTCGGAGGGATGCATTCCATGCTGTTTGTAAGCCGAGGATCATATGTCTTGCTCAAGCCACCGCCCATAGACCTGCTGCTTGTCGAATTGATGACGAGAGCAAGTGAGCAGCGATCTCATCTATGGATTGCACAGCCAGTTTCTCTCTGAGCCCAGCCAATAAATTCAAACCTCCACGTAGGAAATCATCAAAGACCCTAGTCTATTCCTTGTGCGCCATTCCAAAACGTCTCGCCAGCAGGACCTTTCCGAGGTCCGGGGCATCGTCCCAGAAGACCCACCCGCGTCCCAGTTCCGCCAGCGTCTAATCCCAGTTTCGGCTTCCTCCTCGCCAAAACAGGTCTCGGCCATGCGTTTGACAAATAGTCGCTTGACAGAAATAGCCATGGCCGTGACCGCGGGCATGGTGGGTTTCCAAATCTTCTAGGGGAAGCATCCGGCTTCCCGCAACCAACCAGTAAACTTGAACCATTCCGAGACATCCTACTGCAAAATACCGGTCTTCAAAGCCCAGTCGTTCCCGTGTCTCGCCCATGAGCAAAATTCGCTTGCCCTCAACGCTTGCTGTGAACATTCCGGCATGGACAAGGGAAGGGATATCTCGGCACGCTCAAGCTTTCGAGCCCGCGTCATCAAGTACGTTAAGAAAACAATGCAAGCCCTCCTCAAGTCCGTCACCGGCCAGTCCCTGTTTGCCACGACAGCATCCTCCGAAACAGCGTTCAACATAACATCAACGCAAGCCCTCATCAAGTCCGTCACCGGCCAATCCCTGTTTGCCACGACTGCATCCTCCGAAACAGCGTTCAACGTAACGGCCAAACTTCTCGGGCGTCAGCCTGCGCTGCCGCTTTGATGAAATCAGCAGGTTTCCGTTTTCGTGGCACCCCCCCCCCCCCCAGGATAGTCTTCTCCGTCAGCATCATCTGCAAAAGATTCATGTCGTCCAATAAAAGCCCTCCTCCGCTGCAGGGATGATCTTCTCCATCACACTGCAAAAGATTCATGTCGGCTAATAAAAGCCATCCTCCGCTGCAGGGATGATCTTCTCCATCACACTGCAAAAGATTCATGTTCGGCTAATACAAGCCCTCCTCCGCTGCAGAAGATTCATGTTCGGCTACTAAAAGCCAGTCACAGCATCATCTGCAAAAGATTCATGTCGGCTAATAAAAGCCCTCCTCGGGTGCAGGGATGATCTTCTCCATCACGCTGCAAAAGATTCATGTTCGGCTAATAAAAGCCCTCCTCCGCTGCAGTGAGGATCTTTTCCATCACAGCATCATCTGCAAAAGACCCCATGTTCGGCTAATAAAAGCGCTCTTTCACTGCAGGAGGGCTGCAGGGATGATCTCCTCCAGCACACTGCAAAAGATTCATGTTCGGCTAATAAAAGCCCTCCTCCGCTGCAGAGAGGATCTTTTCCTCACAGCATCATCTGCAAAAGACCCATGTTCGGCTAATAAAAGCGCTCCTCCACTGCAGGCCCGCTCGACTTCCCCCCGCTCCTCCACTGCAGGCCCGCTTGACTTCCCCCTTTCCAAAACATGCCTGCGTACAATGGCAGTGGCCTTGGGCATTGTTTCAAAAAAGTATGTCCAGCGGTCGGGTGTTCTGCGCGGCGCACAACACGGTGCGGTAGTCGCCAAAGTCGGCAAGCAAAGGTTTGAGCCTCTTGCCCTTAGGCAAAGAGCCTGTAAGAAAGAGATTCAGCGAGCGATTCGGTTTGTCGGACTGCGCTTGGAGATCCAGAGCGTCTACAGCCTTGTTGGCACCTGACAGAGTGTCAAGTCTGAATCCGCGCGCAGCCCACTTCTTGAGAGGCCTGTCTAGGGCCCTTCAGGCGACGCGAAATGAATCCAAATTCTGCGAGACAAATTGCTTTGATGTAACCGCGAAAATCAGCAATTCCACGCTCCTTGCTTGCTGCGATCCATGATCACAATGCGCTGCTTTGCCGCTATGGAAATGGTGGGATCTCTCACCGTTGCCTGCAGCGCCACTTTGGTGACCGCCTGCGAGAGCCTAGCACTGCCAGCGAAGACTCTATGCAAATCAATTCTTCGGTGAAAACCCTGTTGCACTTCTGCAAAAAAATGTCCTCTTCGGACTTCTTAAAGGGAGCTTCGACACCTTCGCGCGTGTCGTCCTTGGGCTCCAAGACGGTGGGGAAGTTGAAGAGCAAGTTCGTCCGTAGGAGCGGACTTTATCCCACCTATGGCAAGAAGGGCGGCCTTAAGAAGGACAACCTGCTCCTTGTGGATAACGCCAACACGGCACTTGTCCCAAGGTCATTCATCTACAATGTCCCGTCGCTGAACGGTGGAAGGGTTGTGGCAATTGAGCGGGACAACTATGACCCTACGACCCTTTTCCCCTCCTTTGGGGGAATTATTTCCCTTTTCCCCTCCTTTGGGGGAATTATTTCCCTTTTCCCCTCTTTGGTGGAATTATGTCCTTTTTCCCCTCCTTTGGGGAAATTATTTCCCCAGTCATTGATAGCAAAGCAAAACACTTCTTTTCCATCCTCAACCTTGGTATGTGAAGCACCTACTGGAGTGAGCAGTTAGAACCAGCAACCACATTGGGTACTTGGCTCACTGTGCGGTTGCTCAACTCTGTTTCCACTACCTTAGCCATTCCGCTAATGTCAATGTTGATGGAACCAGAGCCCTCAACATAGTTGTGGTAGGTGTCAATGAAAGTGTCCATGAGGCACACAAGGGTCTTGTTCTGATGATAATCAAGTTTGGAGGAGCACTTCTTCATGGTCTGCATTGACGGAAAAAGAAGGTCAATGGACTTGCTGAGCTTCTCCTCACCGCTCAGGTTTTTGAAGAAGGGGACAAAATGCTTTTCAGGGTGACCAGCTCTTCGGTGTTGATGTGCTTCAGTGCAATCGCCAAAAATGAAGACCCCGCCCTTGTCTTCATCATCAGGAACTCATTCATGGAGGTCTCCATCTGCTGAAGAAACACACGGAAAGGTTCAGGGAGTTCTTGGTCAGGTGTGTCCATCTCATCGTCCATCTGGAACAGGTCTCTCGCCTTTTTCTTCAAGGCACGGATGGCATCAGGCTTTTTGAGAAATGCTTTTTGAACCGAAGGACGACCACCACCAATGATGCCTGTGATGGTCAAGTGGAGTGTCTCATACTCCTGCATGTTGATGTCTTGCACCACCAAAGCGTCACCCAAGCGGTTGCCATTGAACGTCAAGTTCTGATGGTTCAAAGGGATGTGCCAGCGAAGCCATCCAATGACCTTGACCATTAGCACAGACCAACGAAGTCCCACCTCAACAGGAACCACCACTGTTTCCGTGCCATAGTTGTAGGATAGGTTGATGTGGAAGTCTCGCCAGTCCTTGTCATTCAAGTTGTCTCCACTCTCAGAACCACTACTATCTCCTCCGTCATCGTCTCCATCACCATCACCGTCTCCGCCATCATCAGGTTTGTTGTCCTTGTCCTCCTCGTCTTCGCCCTTGAACAACTGCGTATCGCTTGTGGATCGCTCTCCTCATCATCCACTCCATCGTCCTCCTCATCGATGGGGGCATCCGCACGACGGTCGAAGTCTGGGAAGCGGAAGGAAATCATTCCCCCAAAGGAGGGGTAATTCCCCAAAAGGAGGGGAAAAGGGACAAATACCCCTGTTAAAATCCGCCTGACCTACATCGTTTTTCGTGGTTTTCCATTTCGTCCGCCACGCACCGAGGTTGAGAAGTCCCGCTCTTCATCGTCTTCACCACTGACGAGTTCTAGGTTCAGGGATGGGTTTTGTCCCATGCCCCCTTTCCTGTTCCCCTTTTGTGGTTTAACCCTGAAACAAATTAACAAATATTTCACTAATCAAATCAGTAGGAATTTTATATAAATCTTCCTGTTTATGTTTAACAAACCCATCACCCCAACCATCCCTTTTCCCTGATGGCAAACGTTGAGCAGTTTCTAAATGTTTCCCATTCCTAACCTTCCAACAATCCCCTTTGCATAAAGGTCTGGGTTTCCTTGTTTCAATGTTTGACCACAACCTCGTTCGCTTCCTCTCCTTCTTCGTGTATTTTAGCAGGCTTCGCAACCGATGGCAATTGCCTCAAGGCGTGCGGGTGACAAAAAAAAGCTCGAAGGGCATGGGCAGCTTGCGCAGGATGCAGTCCCACGCCTGCTCCAGGTCGCAGTGCGTCCGCCGCTGTTTGAGAGGCCGTCTTTGAGGCGGAGAGTCGGTCGGCGTGCGCAGCTGCAGCTCGGGGTAAAGCGAGGCCATCAGCGGGAAGAGCTCTGG